AAAAAAATAATTTTAATTTCATCAAATATAATACTGTACTTATTTAAACAATATAATTATTTTATCCAATCCTAAATGTTTTGACTTCTATATAACGAGGTAAATTTCAAGATGTTTGTGAGATATATCGTATGACAACCATATGATACTAGTATTTATGAAGGATTGTATCCTAAATATAAGTTACAAATAGACTAACTCATGGAAAACCCAAGGAATCGATGTGCAGGTCTTGTTTGAGATAAGGATTGCCCGGTAATTGTAATAATTAAACAAAATTATATAATATTTTTATTTATTTGTCCACATAAAATTGCAAATACATAAATAATTTACTTATTATTAAGACAAAGTGCTATTAAAGCAACATACTGTTTATAAACAATAAATTATTAGTAAATTTCCCACTATATTTCAAACAATCATCTATTTATTATATTAAAATGTTAAACTAATGTACTGTATAATTACTTTTGTACATTGGTTAAATATTGATGAGTTGTTTACCATTTTTGCAGTCTTTGCCAAACCTGCCGCAGTCTTATCCATTGACCAAATGTTGTGTCGTCCAAAATATACTGAAGATAACAGGCCTTCCAATGCTTCACATGTCAACCAAAGATATAAACCAATATTTCCAAAAATTAATAATCAATTAAATGATAACTGTCTTCGCAATTATAAGTATTAAATTCAGTGCCTTTTTGTATATTTACAAGTTAGCTCATTAATATTTATTAACAGTGATTTTAAATATTAGATTTATAATTAATGATACATTTGGCATTTAGCAAGAATATTATAGCAATACTGTATTATGAATTTTTAAATAAATATTAGATTAAACTGTATTTTAAATTTTTAAAATAAATAAAATTTAATTGTGCCGATTCATTGCAATGAATACAATATACTGTAATAACAATACAGTATTACTGTAAAAATATTGACTAATAAATCAATAGAATAATTAACAAATAGAGTACAATATCTTACATTACTTTATTCATTGTTACATTCAAAGTAGACTACATACTTCCATAAAATATTATTCTTAAAATACTGTATTTTTAATTATATTATGTAAAGTTTAATGGTATTTTTATTTTTAAAAATATATTTTATATTGTTTATATCTTCAAAATTATAATATTAATTATATTGTTCAATAAAAATTTAATAAATTAAAAACTCAATACTCACATAAGAATAATGAAAATTTATAGTATGACTTTCCCTTTTAACCTTAATTTAATAATATTTAACTTTTTACTTAAATTGAAACCCAAATTAAAATATGAAACAAAGATTGCAACAGTTGCAGTAATAGATAATAATAAATAATAATAGATAATAATAGATATTAATAGATATTAATAGATATTAATAGATATTAATAGATAATAATAGATAATAATAGGAGCCTGTTCCCAATTCTTATCATTTCAAAACTGTAGTGTTTATAATGGCAAATTTTACTATAAAATTGTCTAAACTTTGTGATGCCATTAATAAAATTGTGTTTCATTGGTTATCAAATTGGTTGACATCATACTTATTGACTGAAATGTTGAAATGTTGAAATGTCCTGGGGCTATACACACAGTGATATCTGTATGGTTGAGAGCTAAATAAAAAGGTGACCTTCATTTGGACACACTTTTGAAATCCTTATTAAAATAAATGAAGTTATCGTTAAGAGTAGTCTTTTGGCACAATTCAGTGATTTGTGAGCAAAACTCAATCCTTGTTTATTTAGTTTGCATTTAGTATTTGACTTTCAAGTATACGCTATGGTGTAGTGATTTGATTGTAAAAATATTGACAACAGTCTCGGTTTTGATTTGAATAATATTTAGAAATGATTAATTATAATGGTGTGTGTTTTTGGGTAATTAAATTATTTGCGTTAAAAGTTTGTAAACTAATTAATTTTTCGGTTTCGCACAAGTGTTTGATAGCAATATTAATACTTAGTTTAATAAAAGTTGACATTTATGTAAATTGTGGTCCAATTAGTAGTAGAGCTCGAACTACAGGCGCTCAGTCCAGTCCTCCCCTCTCAAGCGGTTCTAATAATTTTAATTCCAGACGAAGAGATATATTCACTGATAATAGAAGTCAAAGAAGTGAATCAAATCACGTAAGAAAAGCTCGTATTTGAAGTTAACATTTCAATCAATTATATCCTTTTAGGATCCATCTGCCCGATCAAAAGTATTACTGCCAGACCTGGACTCTAAAGGGAGACCCACTTGTCTGTCCAGTCCCGACGATACCTATTGTGAATCCGTCCAAAATTATCCAAAGTTTGTATTTCCAGTCTTTAATAATCATTCATTCAATTATATCTAATTTTATATTATTTATAATGAGATAATGAGTAAAATAGAGAAAAATATTAGAGTAGATACTGTCAGACAACGTTATAATAAAATATTATTGATTAGCAGAATATTCTATGTATTGATGAAAGTTTTGAAAAATTGGAAAATTCCAAATTTGTTACAGAGTTATGTAGGATATTAAAGTTATTGACATTGAAACATGTGAAGCATGAAAACTATTTTGATATTATACAATATTTATACATTGAAACTATTTTTAACAAACCTAAGAACATGTTTGAAGTATGAAATCCTTATCCAGTAAAAGGTTTGTAAAATGCCAAACAATGATATCATAAATTTCTATCATTCATTTATTACAAAGATACCAAATATAGTTTCCAAAATCTAATATGCTTTTATAGTTAATTATATACAAATATGAAACTTACTTAATAGAGAAATATTTTTCTTAAGTTAATTTATAATTTAGTTCATGCACAATTTAATGCTGAATTAATTCAATAGTTATTTTGTTGATAACGTTACAGAATATGTGAAAAATAAAGAGTAAACTTATTTTAATTAATTTCTTATGAGATATTTAGATGTGATAAGTCTAATTGTAGAAACTTACTTAAATACCGGTAAACTAATACAACCCTTAAGCTATGTGTCATATTAGGAAAAGTCGTTAAATTGAATTAGAAAATTAGAAATCATATCTCATACACAATCTAATAATATTGAGATCCCTTCTGGGTTCAACTTTTCCACTAATATCCGACTCTCTCTCTCTCTCTCTCTCTCTCTCTCTCCAACAAAGAATTACTTTGAACTTCAGACACTGAAAATGCTTATTATTATTAATTAATAATTTAGTATTCAATGCCAAAATTAATTCATTAACATCATTGATGTTACATCAATATTTGTAATACTCTAAATAGCCTTCAATAAAGAATTGTGTATTTAATGATAGATTTTGGAAAAGAATCTTTTGTTCATAATACCCTGCTCCTTTAGACTACTGTCACAACCTTGAAGTATATTAAACAATAGAATATACTGTATATTTATATTATGAAATCTTATGTTTAAACTAACTTAAATGAAATAATACCTAGGGATTTACATAAATAATATTTATATTAGAATAGATTATTTATTAAAATAACACAAACATGTAAATAATGAAATTATAAATACTACTATTACATGTAGAAAATTATATGCCATATTCTACATTGCTTTTCTACCTTGTATATTAAAAATCATATAATTAAATGACAACTTTAGCGCAACTATAAAACAAGAGATAGATTACTCTCCGATTCAATTCCTCGAGATATTTGGCACCAAAGATATCGACGGAAGAAAGAGTTATATCGACGACGACTTGACCGAAGAGCGCG